CAGGGGAGTGCCCTGGATAAGGGAGACTAATTACTACACTTTTTTGTACAACACCAGTAGGTGGTACAGTAGGAACTGGCGCTACTCACCCATGCGCACGATCCATGGAGTAAATCCCGGATCGAATCCCACATGCTCGACCAATTAAGAAAGAAAAACCATTATAAACAAACAAAATAATAGATACGGTTCGTTTCGCTCCTTCCTCAGACGAACCTTATTATTTCGTCAATCCCCGGAGCTCATCAGTGAGTTGGGATTGGCGAAATAAAGACACAGGGGAAAGACGAATAAACCTTGATGTAACGTACTTTCATGCAGAGGAGCAATGAAATGAATTGTATATTGACTAAATGAATGAAAAATTAAGTTGATTAAAAATGTAAAACTATAAAGTGTAAAAGGTGGGTGTTTGTAATTGTAAAGCCTGGAAACATTGAACTGTATAATGTTTGGCTCCATAAGGTATTCCATAGGGTACCCCGCATTCAAATATCACTATCTGTTTAAGTGGGAGTGGAATGAGTGGCGCATCCGAAAAGGATTAATAAAGTCCGTCTTAACTTTTATCAGCATTTTACTACACACTCGGTCAAAAACATTCATTTAACACATTAGTTTGTTTTCGGACAATATGAGTATCGTTGTGCATTTTTAGAAGAGACGTGGTTCAAAAACAGAAAGAGCATCAGAAACGATCAGTGGGGATTAGAATTCTTTTGGTGAAGGACCTGCGTGGCTAGTGATGAGTGCTTGACCGCCGATCCCTCCACACGCCCCTGAACAAGACGTTCACAATTATATGATTTTTCCAAAGTCTTTGCCACGTATGCTGTAGAGTTCGATCTACGAACATCTAGGCTTGTGGGAATAGAAGGGCGTAAAAATAACAATTGTTAGATATCGATTGCTTGTTAGTCGTTCGTAGAGGCTACTGCCTTCTTGCAAGCTCTACACACCCACATATCACTAATATGTCCAAAAGGCGAGAAATGGCCCAGTGTTTTCGTGCGCTATATGTTTTGATATCGCCGCCAGTCTCTCTACAGTGAATCATGCGATGAAATGAGAACACACTCAGCGCTGTTTTCATGGCCATCCTCCGCCTTCATCGCATTCTCTGCGGCTGATGTCTTACTTTGGGTTCGTTCTCTGTTGTCAGCGCCGCTCTCATCATCGATCATATTCACGACGAGCAACATGCAGATGCGTCCCAGCAAAATCTAAATAATTGACCGCTTGACGAACTATTAGTCTACAGCTTGTTAATTTGCCTCGTATCCAATGAGGGCTACATCGAGGCTCCAGCACATGAATGAAATAAAATAATGGCTTACTAAGGGGTAGATATCTAGACAGCGCCTCATCTCCCGTACCGGCTGTCAAAGCCAGGTGTCAATAACCTTTTGAGTGCGCCAGATGGGTGCACGTACCAACCATAAATCACTGATTAGCGTAGACGCCATCCTCCCTCAGAGGGGATGTTGATTTGTTTATTTTAAATGGGAAAAACAAATATTGAACGGTTCTGTTTTGTCAACTGTTGTTTTTCGTCACAGTTTGCGATGCCAGGGTTATCTCAGTCATGAGCAAACGTTTTTTTTTTACCTGGGGGTAATTCGGACCTGATGATAGTATAGTTCAATGGGGTCTCATCCAGTAAGGGGGGGGCATGTGGTGCGACAGTTCATATTGCATGAAGTAATCCACTTTTTTTCAGGGGAGGGAAGCTCCGGGGTGGGTGTAAAAGTTTAAGCGAAATGGTTCACGCACCCCGGGGATTCCCTCCCCTTGCAAAAATTGGAATTTCTGTAGCCGGCAAGAAGAACTGTCGCACCACATGCCCCCCCCCTTACTGGATGAGACCCGCTTAATGTATTGGTATTCTTTAAGAGCATTGTTTGTTCTCCAGAATGATTTCTTTTTGCGGAGCTCATTTTCAACCACGGTTGAAACCCAAAACCTGCAGGTATGTTCATTTCCCCACACTCTCCATTTTGAAAAATTCTCTCTAGTGTTCTAGTGAGACTTCATTGCTTTAGGCCTTTCGTTTTGGGTGATTCTCTAGTCATTTAGGACATTTCCTTCTCTCATAATCCTCAGCCGCCGTCTTGAACGGGTTCGGGCAAAGAGCAATAAAGGTCGATTGACCGAGGCAAAAGTTGCTTCCTCGCGTTTTTTACACACACGTTCGCCAGCTGAGCTGCGTTTTTATGTACTCAAGCCTCTTCGCTCTCAGTTGGAATTGATTGCTGCTTTGACACTTCATTGAACTCACAATGGGCTTTTCCACTTCAGAAATGCGCGCAAAATCTTAATAGTTGCATTTGATTTGCAGGACTAAATTTGGCGAACAACAAGGTTCCTATCTCCTAGTTTGACAGGAAGATTTCACATATAAGTTAAACACGTTGACGACATCGCGCGTTTTGGGTTTTTGCACCGCGTGGGACCAGAGCGATTTTGCGAGCGCCGCCGCCGCACACCAAATCCATGGATTTTGAGCTGTAAATACGCAATACTTAGATGCGATGAAGTGTTTTCAATAATGTTCGATCTGTCTAACTTATCGGGAGTTACAGTAATGGAAGTTCGACCGAAATGACGTGTTAAGGCCATGAAAAGGCAAATTTTACTTACTTTCCCTTTAGTGGTTCCAAAATTAATTTGGACGTGGTTGTTTCAGTAAAAACATATCTTCCCATACGAATAGGTTTGTATTCGCTTCTATTATTTATTCCTTTTTATCAACATGTTTACGTTAATGAAAAGAAAACGAGGAATGAACTGAACAGACATATCCGTAAGGTCTGGAAAACCTCTGCCAAACTAAAGAATATTTGGCCTTTCTGTGAGCCATGTGGTTTTTAAGTATGCTAATGTATGACCTATAGAATGAGTACAAAGACCTTAGGAATAAGTCGCACAAGCGCAAGAAAAAGGGAAGACTTGAGTGGGACGTTGTCGTCAACGTGTAAAAAAAGACGTGCTTATTCATCGTGGTTTCTAATGAGTCATAGTACAATGTACTATAAAGGGTAAAAGGACAAGTTATTTGGCATGACTAATTCCTTAGCGGATGTGCCTTGCACACTGTTATTTCCATTCCACTTTGATGAAGATGGAGAGTAAAAATGAACGCTTGGGATATAGAACTAGCGAAGTTCTTGAAATCTGGGAAAAGTACAAATTTCTTTCGATAGAATAAAAGAAGATGGAGCTTTCGACGTCGATCGACCCTTTTCGGGATGCGCCACGCATTCAACTCCCGGTGAAAACCATAGCAGCTTCGAATGCGATGTGGCCTTTGATTAAGTCATCTACAAAGCAGGTTTTAAACTTTTAGACAAGTCTGACACTATTATTCTACCCCGGAGGGGATGTAGGCTTGGTTGCCCTGGGCGGAACTCGGATCTGAGAATACACCCTCAGAACATGCACTTGGTATACCACTACGCTACCGTCGCCTAGTTTCGAATAAATAGAAGAATTTTCGTTCTAATAGAAAATTATTTACAATGATCTTAAATTATTATTTCGAAGTGTTTATTGTATTGATACATTAAGAATGCAAAGAAGGGACTGTCTGGTTACAAGGCTTCTGTCAACCAAAGGGTGAGAGCGTAGCTGGAAAAGCACACACTTTGTGTCTTATTGGGACTAAGCCTTTTGAAGAAGATAAAGAAAGAGGAGATGCTGTGATAGTGTGCACTTGTGAGAGCTCCCAGACATCACTACAAAACGCTGAACCGCCAAGGCTCACGGTTGACAGATGTCCTGAGACCGGGCTGTCTCAAATGAGAAACCGATTAAGGTAGCTAACTATTTGGACGCTCTATTGACCAACACATATGATTTTTTCTTGATTGGTTAGAGTGCTTAAGAACGATTCTCAAAATTGGGAAGGCATCAACTCCTGACTACGGCGCTTATGTAGGAGAGGGGAGGGGGCATTCAAGAGGGTAAGCCACTTACATTATTGGGACTAAGCCTTAGGGACGGGAAGGGATTATGAGGATGGATTTTGGTTCTTCCTGCCGTTTATCCTCTCTCTTGGGCTTAGCCCTGGTGCCACCCACTGTCGGCCCTGTTGAATGTCCCTCCCCGGAACATGCATGAGTGCCCTGGCTACAACAACAGATCACGGAAATGAAAGAAAGAAATAAAAAACCACTGGAGGGAGAGGCTTAACGCGGGAAATGGAATAGAATGAAAATGGATGATGCTTTTGAAACAGTAGTTATCATGATGAGTTAGTAAGAAGTAACTGATAAGGGGGAACACAGATGAAACAGGCACTAAAAGATGGTTTTTGAAGAATCGATTGCAAAAATGATAAATGGCACTCAAAATGGGCTTCTGATTTGTTGCTTGAACTGCAAAGATCACTGCCGTTGCTGTTCCGTAAATACAACACCCACAAATGAAATCACGACATATTGATAGGAATGATTAAATACTTTGCACTCTTACAATATCAATCCCGATTGATTGGTATTATTGATTTTACTCTCGTTCTTCCCTCATTATAAACTGGATTTCCATAAGAGCGAATGATCTCAATTGTGTATTAAGAACCATTAACTGTTGACAGATGTCTGCCATATCGCAAACTAGATGTTCTTTGTCATGTTTCATACAAACGTTGTTTTCGTGTTTACGCTGGTGTTCTCCTCTTCGGTGATTCTACAGAAACTGATTTCTTCATACTTTCTCCCGAAATGAAGTGCTTTCCGAAATTCTGGACCTCGACTCTCGTGAAGGTATTAACTGTGAAACAGGGCCACATCACATTTAAGTTCCCAGTTTGGCATTCTCCTCACATTTGGCTTTTCTTCCCAGGTTATTTCTTACCTAGCGTTTCTCATATTTTCCCGAAGCTTGCAAATTTTCAATAGGGTGATCTCTATTTTCTTGACACTATTTTCACGGCAGGCCTTTCGAGCTCTCTTTATAGAAGGCATTGTGTCTTTGAACACTTGACAACTTTCTATTCAGCAATGGACATACGCCCCCACGCCTCAATTGAATCGTCCAGCAATCTTTGCGCTTCTGCTGCGAATAAAACAGGTGTTACGGATTTTGGCAAAGAAATCGAAGCATTTGTTCACCTGTAAGAAACCACCATATATTCATATGTAGGTGCTACCTTCTGTTACTCCACGATAATGGCATCGCGCACCATTATTAGTCCGCCAGTCATTTGTGTGCTACCCTTGCGAGTTGCCATGCTAAAACTACGGGAGCTGCACGCCTGTTTTGACCGCGGTAAAATAACATGAAGCCCCAGTCGGTGAACTTCCCGGCCAGGGACAGAGAAGCTCCTGTAAAAAAAACACGAAGCAATACGCCGCGCATAAGCCCCTTCTTGCTGTAAATTGATGAGGAAACTAAAACTATGAGCATTCTCTTCTGTTTGCAGGACCGGTGTTCCGACCCTTATTTATACGACACCTTTGAAACGCTTTTTCGTTCGGTATTCGCTATGCTGGTTTGCACTGCAAGACTGAAGAGCACCGAATGTAGCGAGTGTAAAGAGTGATCGAGCATTGTACGCTTATGTCGAGGAAAATAATTGCAAGGACAAGAGATGCTGTCAGCAAAGTTTGAGGTAGTGCTAAAGCGATGGAGGCGGACTCCTGTGGCACCGACCTAAAAGCATATGTCACGTGTAGGGCGGAGATTGCGAACGAAAGATGCTCCTAGCGCCTTCATCACACACTTCTAATCGGGCGAGTTCGCAAGTACGCCTTGAGGCCAGCGTTCTTCTAACCTGCCCTCCTCAGTAAGTTGCGGTCATAGTTTGCGATCTTACGATTCTACGATCTTGCGGTTTTCTTGGAGTAGATGCATGTCGACCGTGCGATCCGAGAATTGCATGGTCACTCCACACTCAAACTGCAAAACCACTGCAAATCGATCGCAAAGTATAACCGCTGCTTAACGGGATTAGGATTCGATAGCTGGTCATGAAGTGCGCCTTGCCTAAATTTTTTGAGCAGATCCTTCTGAGCATTTATGCTGTATCTTCTAGTTTCGGAAGAACATGGCGAGATATCTTTATCTAGTAAGGGGGTGAGATAAGAGCGCATATACTACCTTTTGTCACAGATGTACAAATTTGCGTCAAACCCTTCTGTTATACTGTAACAACTGTTTTTTTTTGTTGCTGTGGTCTTTCATTTTAACTGCTGATTTTTAGATCGGGTCAGATAAGTGTTGATGAGTTGCAGCGTGCTCTTTCCAATGGCACCTGGAACCCGTTCAACCCAGAAACATGTCGTTTAATGATAGGTACGTCTGCTGTTCATCTTTGCCCCTCATTCTCCCATATTTCATCTTTGATTTTCAATTGGAATGTGATACAGTTTTTATGGGTCACCGGTAGCTCGATACCATTGTAATTATAATAACTTAAAACTAAACCACATAAAAGCATGGAAACTTTCGAGTAATAAAAGCAGTGATCACGACGGTCGAAGGGCGGTGCGGTTTTGATGACCTCTGAACATCATGGGTGGAAGGGTGTTGTGGGACTCCCATTCACACTCTAGAGTATTGAGAAGCCTAGGCCACTAATGACGTTCGATGACTTCATCAAACTGGACCATCCTCCAGCTGTCGTGATAATTGCCTCTAAATGAAAGGCGAAGCAAGAGCAAATTTTTACACTGATCTTAATTCGCTTTAGGAATGTTTGATTCGAATGGAGACGGAGCAATAAATTTCAACGAGTTCCAGGTATGTTCAAATGAAGTTACTCTTTTACTCTGTGATTTTTGCAAAACAGAATACCCATCCAGTTACTGTTCCGAAAAAAATCAAAATTTGAGAGCGGAATTGATGTTGTTCTTGGTTCGGGTTGATTAATTGCATCTCTTTTACTTTGGATATTCTCTTGTTCGTATCTATTATACAGTAATGCGTGTTCATTTGGAAATCATCCCATTCATAATTGCTGTCCTCATATTATAATGTAGTTCATAAAAAGTGGAAAGACATGCTCAGATTACCGGAGAGATCTTGTAATTTGAGTAGTGTTTGCAGTAGACGAAGAGCTCGAATGTTGATTTTTCCATGTCTCTCGTTTATTGAAGAACTTGAAGAACAAAATTTAGGGGTTGCTACTCTACGTCGAGTAGAGAATTTCCTCCCTTTCAGGCTTTGTGGCAATACATAAATGACTGGACGAACTGTTTTCGTGGTTTTGATCTCGACAATAGCGGTAATATTGACAAATTAGAGCTTCAAAACGCCTTATCTCGATTTGGTACGTTTCCAGTCGATTTTGCTAGTTTTCAAACTTCAAACGGAACGGCTCTTTTAGGTTATCGCCTTTCGGACCAATTTTATAATATATTGATGATGAAATTCGATCGCACACACACTGGTCACGTCAATTTTGATGATTTCATCCAATTGTGCGTCGTATTACAGACCCTCACTGCCGCCTTCAGGTTAGTGAACAGGAACTTCTAAATCTCAGTTCAAGGGTATAGCTAGAGATAAGAACGCTTCCCATAGAAAATTGGAAATCACATTCCGCTAATGCTGCCGAATTTTAGGATTTTTTTGTTCGATTTTGTTTTATAATTGTAACTTTTTCGTTAGCTTCATCTACTGTGATGGTTTTAAGCTCAGTTAGAATTGTTAGAAAACATTCATTGGCTGCTAGAGTACTATCTATACTGTACTATATAATTTAGAGTACAAGATATCCCCTGAAAATTAGTTTTCGATGTCCTTAACCCATTCGCGACAATGGCAGCCACCGGTGGCTGACGCGAAGATGCTCACTTGGGACCATTTCATCCACCGGTTGCCCTCATGGAAAAAGTTTCAGCACCAATTGTTGATTTTTGCCACTTCACCTCACTTCAAGAAAGGGTCGCGAGGGACAATGATGGCCACCGGTAGCTGCCACTTTGCGATCGTCTCAAACAAAGCTCGTCCGAACGGGCAGATTGAAAATCCTGCGCGGTCGCGAATGGGTTAATACATATTATACGAGAGAAGCTATTTGAGAGTTGTGTTGAGGTAGGGCGGAAGAAGTCGGGGCCAGGAGGACGGAAACTTGGACCTAGACCAAATTGAGTGTTGTGTAAGCTCTTGTAAAAGGGGAGGGGTGTTGAGCGAGATTCGAGTTTCCCTCAAAAAAAATATT